GGGCGCATGTCTCTAGAGTAATGTCTCAGTAAAATTTTGCAATAAATATTATTTTCATTAATTATATGTAAATAAAATAAAATACATATCAATAAATCGTTTTCAGAAAGGAACGGACCAGTGAGAGAGGCGAGGCACCTGCAGTATATTTACATATGTATTTCAATGGAAGTTCCTGCCATCTAAGACAATCACGACTTGTTGTTTCCAGAATGCATGTACATATTTATTATTTTATTGTATCCTTTACGATAATAACTTTGTGCGTCTCATCATAGTTTATTGTATACAAGTGTTTTTACTTACATAATCTAAATACTGTAGCTATGTGTTAAATAAATACTGTGTACTCACATACATGCGTAACTTAACATTATTATTTTTATTTAATAATATATTTTACGGAATATTATGATTGTTTAGACGTTCTCGTTTGTATGAAACGATAACTTATTAATTCAGATATATATGCGGCCCTGAAAAGGGCCTTTTTTAATTAATATTTGTTATCGTGTTGTTTATTTATTTACGTATGATGATCTTTGAATGTGTATGTACATATCATTATTCAAAAATGCACACCACTATTTAGACACATACACGTATAAAAAGAAACAACACAATTGACACTCATTGACGTTTAGGCACGTTCACCGCGAATCCTTCTTGCTAGCTGGATATCTTTAGGCATAATAGTGACGCGTTTAGCGTGAATAGCGCAAAGATTCGTGTCTTCGAAGAGACCTACGAGATACGCCTCGCTGGCCTCCTGCAGGGCCATCACCGCGGAGCTCTGGAAACGAAGATCGGTCTTGAAATCTTGAGCTATCTCACGCACTAGACGTTGGAAAGGTAGCTTGCGGATGAGAAGTTCCGTGCTCTTCTGGTAGCGACGGATCTCACGAAGTGCCACAGTACCGGGTCTGTAACGATGAGGCTTCTTGACTCCTCCGGTTGCCGGTGCGCTCTTACGGGCCGCCTTCGTTGCTAGCTGTTTACGTGGTGCCTTACCACCGGTTGATTTACGAGCTGTTTGCTTAGTACGAGCCATTATTGAGATAAAAATAACTTTGACACGGTACGCGATGAAACAACGGACTACAGTTGTGTGCACTACAGCGAGGATCGAACTATAATGATAGCCGTAAATAAACCGACCGGCTCTTATATACGTACTCCGTAGAGGCAGTCGGCGGGGATCGTTCGAGGGGTTCGGGTTTATGCTTCTGGTCACTAAATCGACACGGTCGTCTTCGTATTCGCTGTAATAGCATTAGAAAATATAATATGTAGTATATAGTAGTTATAGATATATACATATATGTATATTGTCAGTGACGTTAATATATAGGTATACAACATTTATATTAATTTAAATGTCTATAACGCGTATTCCAAATTGATTTTAATAATTATAAGTATGTATTTTCTGACATAGATAGATATCGCAAGACGATGATATATTTAACTCTACGCCATAACTTAAAAGATTTAATGTAATTATTAAAAATATTATAATAAAATCCAACGAGATGTTTAGTTCGATGCGTTGAAACTTATATAAGGAATAATAATAAATTATTATTCTTTTCATGTGAATCTTTTAATGGCCCTGAAAAGGGCCTTTGTTATATTATATTTTTCATTTCATTTCCTCTCCTCCTCACTTGGAACTGGTGTACTTCGTGACGGCCTTCGTTCCTTCACTGACGGCGTGTTTGGCCAACTCGCCGGGCAGCAACAATCTCACGGAGGTCTGGACCTCCCTGGACGTTATGGTGGATCTCTTGTTGTAGTGTGCGAGACGTGACGCTTCGGCGGCTATACGTTCGAATATATCGTTCACGAAAGAGTTCATGATCGACATGGCCTTACTTGATATACCGGTGTCGGGATGCACTTGCTTCAGAACCTTGTAGATGTAGATAGCGTAGCTCTCCTTCCTCTTGTGCTTCTTCTTCTTCTTGTCGGATTTGGAGATGTTCTTTTGAGCTTTGCCGGACTTCTTGGCTGCCTTACCGCTGGTTTTAGGCGGCATGTTTGATTATAATATGATATATTATTATAACAACGATTGACTTCAACGGTGCTTTCGGTACGGAGTACTGTAAGCTATTCTGTAAAAAAATATCCAACCCAGGGTCTAGTGTGTATCATTATGCTCAAGTATGTAGTTACGTATCGAGCACGCACGTCCACACCGGGGACCGACCAATAGGAAGCGTCGGTTCCGACCGTGGGGTCCGATGTGTTTTCCGTCTGCGGGGGGGGGGGGGAGGGGCGGGGCGGAGGGGGGTTTCGGTTTGAAAATAATAATCATAACATAATAATCATAAAATAAGAGTATGTAAAAACAGTCTATTAAATAAAGAGTACTTAATAATAACAATAGAAGAGTCATAAAAATTATGATGTCAGTGTTTCCAATTATTATTATTTTATTACCTGTACTTAAAACTAATTACCGTTCGGTCATTAAGTGCTTTGTGTTATTTTTTGTTTATTTTGAAAACTAATAATAAATAATAGCATTATGAGATTATCTATCGACTTTGAAAAGTAGATTACTATCAGTTATTTAATTTATTATTATCATGATATTGCTTTTGAAAGAAATTGTATAATATGTAATTAATTATATACTTAGGTAGTTTCATATACATACGTTAAATAATAATACATAATAATATTACTTATTATAATTGACGTCTCGTATCGATGGAACTGTTCGTATATTATATAAAATATATACGTTAAACAACGATTTATTTTGTGGCCCTGAAAAGGGCCTTTTAAATAAACATCAATTGGATGTATGACTATGTATACATGCATACAAACAAACATCACATCAACCATTACATATTATATACCCATTACATTAGTATATATGTAGACGGAGACGACGATGATGATGATGATGATGATTATGGTGGTGGTGGTGATGGTGGTGGTGGTGCGGTCCGATGATCATCAATGATAATCCTTTAGGCCTTCTTCTCCGTCTTCTTGGGCAATAATACGGCCTGGATGTTTGGTAGTACACCACCCTGAGCTATGGTCACACCGGATAGAAGCTTGTTCAACTCTTCGTCGTTCCTTATGGCCAGCTGAAGATGTCTAGGTATGATTCTGGTCTTCTTGTTGTCTCTGGCAGCGTTACCGGCCAATTCGAGTACTTCAGCAGCAAGATATTCCATAACGGCAGCGAGATAAACGGGAGCACCGGCACCGACGCGCTCCGCGTAGTTTCCTTTCCTCAGCAATCTGTGTATACGACCGACGGGGAACTGTAGACCTGCACGGTTAGAACGAGACTTCGCCTTTCCCTTAACTTTACCACCTTTACCACGTCCAGACATTGTTGCGAATATATTAACCTTTTGATATAATAACGTAACACACGCGACTGGCAGAGAGTAATTTAAAAAAACCGTAGCGCGGCTCTTTACTATATATACGTCTACACGTATCGGTGGGGTGGGGATATAGACGAATGACGAGCTAAAGTAGACGCGGAGAGAAGCGGGAGGGTTTTCCAATCAGTGTTGACATTTTTTTTAGAGGATCGTACTATAGACTAAAAAAAATAATAGTATTTTGTCTTGAAATTCAATGAAATAATCGTACGCGATGAAATTTCAATAAACTGCGTAAGTATATCAAATAAAAACGGAATTTATCAATTCATATGGTGTAATTAAGATATTCATTAATTACATATATTTTGAAAACAGACAAAAAAAAAAAACAAATGAATTGCTTTAGTCAATATCTGAATTATTAGGCACAGCAGATGCGGGAAAAGCATTATATATATATATATATATTGTTCATACTTAAATTTATATACGATATCCTTTTTCTTTAATATTATGTTGTGCAGCTAATAAATTCTTATTTACCGTTTCTTGAACACAGTTTAGTTTTACATATTCCTTATAGTTATAGTACTAAAGTATAGTTTTATACATTCCTTATAGTTTTATTGAAGATTTCGATTACTCGATCGTAAATGGTACAAGAGTCATAAAGGTTTCCAAAAGTGAGTTAAAAGAAAATAATTGTCACCAGTGTTACATTATTATGTTTTATATGGTGTTTTTCATTATTATTATTATTATCAAAATTATGTACTGCTATGTACAATGTAACTAATATTTTCTATAATACTAACAACATAATATAATATCTTTATTTATTTATAACAAGAATGTTTAATATGTCTAATACTATGTATTCAGTATTGTTATTCTTCTTCTACCTGGCAATTTTCCAGCTGTAGCCAGGGTCTGTTTTACATGTTATAAGAATAATTTGGCTATTTGTTTATATGTATGACCGGCCGCCTGCCTGATATCAACAACCCTCTTTGGGAATCAACATTAATCAGTGAGTGATGTCTAAATACTCTAAGAAAGTACATAATATATAACTTGGAAAAATCACATTGGTCATTCTTGCCAGGGTCGAACCCGCGCCCTCATGCATGAGAGGCGGGCGGCCTTTTAACCAATTGGCCACCACTGACTTTGTTATTATCGTATTATAATATTATTACTGAATTGTTCGCTATTTTCGTGAATGTTATCTTGTATTCGATTATTATTTATATATTTTATTATTATTATTATTATTATTATAGGAGACGATCTTTGTCATTCGGAAAACGAGAACACAACGTTGTGTCGAAATCTAAGTTTCCGACATGATTGGGTTCATAATGAAATATATGTTAGCCCTGAAAAGGGCTTTTTATATATGTATTTTTTTTTTCTTTTCTTTCGTATCTGCGACGCGTGCCTGTAAGATGAACGTCACTCTCGTAGATTCCTCGAACGTTGAAGAGTACGGGGGGACGCCGAGAGACATTCCGATGATCTAGAATCTCTTATCTATAATGAACTTGTATCATCGTAAGTCTACAACCCCCGAGCGCGCTCACCACTCACGGTGCCGATGCTGCCGCCGTCGCGATAGATAAAGCAATACAAAAATTATTACTTTTTCGCTGCTGCTGCTGCTTTCTTAGCTGCGGGTTTCGATTTCGGGGTACCGGCGGATGCTTTCTTCGGTTTCGGGGCTTTAGGTTTCTTAGTGGGAGGTTTGGCGCTCTTCTTGGCCTTGGATGCTGCACCTTTCGCCTTAGAAGCTGTCGCGGAGGATGCGGCAGAGGCGTTCGCGGCTGCGGAACCTTTCTTAGCGGCGGCCGGCTTCTTTTTGGCAGCTGCTGCTGCGGCTGCGGCCGCTTTCTTATCCCTGGCCGCTGCCGCCGATGCTTTAGCTTTGGACGGCGAAGATGCAGCCGACGAAGCTACGGAACCGCCTTTCTTACCTCCCTTCGCTGCCACCGCCGATGCCGTTGCGGCGGCTTTCTTAGATTTAACGGATGCCGACGAAGCTGCAGCCCTACCGGTTCCGGCGGAACCACCACTTGCCTTACCACCACCACCACCACCACCACCACCCGACGACGGTTTCTTGGCTGCTGATGATTTAGATTCCAATTTGAATGAACCGGAAGCACCCTTCCCCTTGGTCTGTATCAGGGCACCGGACTCGACGGCGCTCTTGAGATATTTTCTTATGAACGGTGCCAATTTCTCCGTATCGACCTTATATTGAGCGGCGATGTATTTCTTGATAGCCTGTAACGATGAACCGCTGCGCTCCTTCAACTCTTTGATGGCGTTGTTTACCATTTCAGCTGTCTTGGGATGAGTAGGTTTAGCCTTAGGTTTCTTCGAGCCGGCCGCAGCGGCGGCGGCGGCCGCTGACGCTTTCGGTTTTCTTCGCAGGCGTAGCCGGAGCCGGTGTTTCAGATGCAACTGCGGTATCTGCCATTTTTTTAATGTTTTTTTTTTTTTATTATTCTTCTCAGCAGGTCACAACACCACACAGACACACAGACACAGTTTATAAACAAATATAACTATGATGATAGCCGGAGATGTCGCTAGTAGTTATTTAACAATCGGGTATGCCGTAACGAGAACCGTGTTGTCGCTAAACATTTTCACGTACGAACACTTCTAACTTTTCACTAACATCCATCCGTTTTATATGTTTTATTTAATATAATATATATGTTTATATAAATTTAAAGATGCAATATGTTTAATCTTAAAACTAACTTTCGTAGTGAACAATAAATAACATTATAAACGTAGTTAGCATAGATTAATAGACGTTTGAATTCTATATACCTTTCGGGACGTAGGTAACGTCTCGTTTAAAAGTTATTTTTCTCATTTAGAATAGCGTATAGCGTAATGTGATATCGATTAATTGAAAACGAAGACATCACTCCTTCAGGCCCATGGAATAATCATCGTCTTTTATTATCTATGAACTGTTAATGCGGCATCGAAGTCTGGTCTCGTAAAACACACACCGGGATGTTAGAGTATGGAGAGAAGCAAAGGCCGCGTACACGAATGCATAGTATAATCGTCTTCGTAGTGGTTGTTGTCTTCGTTATGTTATGTATTATATAATATAAGGACATAATTTTCGATAATTATGAATAATATTATTGTATAATTGTACGATAGCAGCGGATGAATATGATGATACGATTATCGAAATGATGATTGTACATATTATAATATGCAATGTATGTATGTATGTATGTAATGTACACGTAGAGAGACAGAGGTACATACGTGTATCATCATTATTATTATTAGTAATAGTAGGTATCGATTATCTAAATTTATTTAAAATGCTGTTAAATATTATGTATGTAATATGTGTATAATATTTAGAACATAAGATATGGACGACGACCATAGGTGATTTGAGTGATGAGAACATAAGTGTGTTGAGATAGTTATGATTTTTTTATATTATTACTATTATATACTATAAATTAAATAATAATATAGTTTTATTATTCCGTCGTTGAAACTCTATATTCGATATTCACGATAATCGTGAATAATTATAATATTTCAACGGATACATATGCGGCCCTGAAAAGGGCCTTTTTTCTTTTTTTTTCCTCGTTCCCCAACAGTAACGATGACGCGTCGTGATATAAAGCGAGTAAGTAGAGAGAGGGTGAGGGTGAGGGTGAGGGAGAGTGAGAGAGAGTGAGTGGAAGGAAGTGTCGGGCAGTCGGGCGGCGGGTGAGGGGGGCAGAATAATAGGATGATCTGCACACCACACGAGAGAGACACACTGGAATCATCATCATCACCACCACCACCACACTCTTCACTTGCTGCTTTATATCACGTCGTCGTCTTCGTGTGTGTATATCGGAGGATATGGCTGCTGCTGCTGCTTTAACCGCCGAAACCGTAGAGGGTGCGTCCCTGACGCTTAAGGGCGTACACGACGTCCATGGCTGTGACGGTCTTCCTCTTAGCGTGCTCGGTGTACGTTACCGCGTCGCGGATGACGTTCTCGAGGAACACTTTGAGTACGCCTCTGGTCTCTTCGTATATCAGACCGGAGATACGTTTGACGCCTCCTCTTCTTGCCAGACGACGTATGGCCGGTTTGGTGATGCCCTGGATGTTATCACGGAGCACTTTCCTGTGACGCTTGGCTCCACCTTTTCCCAGACCCTTTCCTCCTTTACCGCGACCGGTCATGATGTAGTGTAGTTGATGCTATTGTTTCTTCACACACGATTGTTACCTATCGCGATGCGCGACGCGTGTAGATCTCTGAGTATAATCGGTACGGGGCCACAAAACCGTCCTTTTTATAGCGTGTACCGGGGTGCGGCGGGGGAGGGGGGGTGGCGGACGGGGACCGTACGAGTGTTATGTACGGGGACGGGCCCGGGGTTGGGGGGGAGGAGGGTACTCTGTATCGCCCTCCCCGGACCCCGCGGCGGGCGCATGTCTCTAGAGTAATGTCTCAGTAAAATTTTGCAATAAATATTATTTTCATTAATTATATGTAAATAAAATAAAATACATATCAATAAATCGTTTTCAGAAAGGAACGGACCAGTGAGAGAGGCGAGGCACCTGCAGTATATTTACATATGTATTTCAATGGAAGTTCCTGCCATCTAAGACAATCACGACTTGTTGTTTCCAGAATGCATGTACATATTTATTATTTTATTGTATCCTTTACGATAATAACTTTGTGCGTCTCATCATAGTTTATTGTATACAAGTGTTTTTACTTACATAATCTAAATACTGTAGCTATGTGTTAAATAAATACTGTGTACTCACATACATGCGTAACTTAACATTATTATTTTTATTTAATAATATATTTTACGGAATATTATGATTGTTTAGACGTTCTCGTTTGTATGAAACGATAACTTATTAATTCAGATATATATGCGGCCCTGAAAAGGGCCTTTTTTAATTAATATTTGTTATCGTGTTGTTTATTTATTTACGTATGATGATCTTTGAATGTGTATGTACATATCATTATTCAAAAATGCACACCACTATTTAGACACATACACGTATAAAAAGAAACAACACAATTGACACTCATTGACGTTTAGGCACGTTCACCGCGAATCCTTCTTGCTAGCTGGATATCTTTAGGCATAATAGTGACGCGTTTAGCGTGAATAGCGCAAAGATTCGTGTCTTCGAAGAGACCTACGAGATACGCCTCGCTGGCCTCCTGCAGGGCCATCACCGCGGAGCTCTGGAAACGAAGATCGGTCTTGAAATCTTGAGCTATCTCACGCACTAGACGTTGGAAAGGTAGCTTGCGGATGAGAAGTTCCGTGCTCTTCTGGTAGCGACGGATCTCACGAAGTGCCACAGTACCGGGTCTGTAACGATGAGGCTTCTTGACTCCTCCGGTTGCCGGTGCGCTCTTACGGGCCGCCTTCGTTGCTAGCTGTTTACGTGGTGCCTTACCACCGGTTGATTTACGAGCTGTTTGCTTAGTACGAGCCATTATTGAGATAAAAATAACTTTGACACGGTACGCGATGAAACAACGGACTACAGTTGTGTGCACTACAGCGAGGATCGAACTATAATGATAGCCGTAAATAAACCGACCGGCTCTTATATACGTACTCCGTAGAGGCAGTCGGCGGGGATCGTTCGAGGGGTTCGGGTTTATGCTTCTGGTCACTAAATCGACACGGTCGTCTTCGTATTCGCTGTAATAGCATTAGAAAATATAATATGTAGTATATAGTAGTTATAGATATATACATATATGTATATTGTCAGTGACGTTAATATATAGGTATACAACATTTATATTAATTTAAATGTCTATAACGCGTATTCCAAATTGATTTTAATAATTATAAGTATGTATTTTCTGACATAGATAGATATCGCAAGACGATGATATATTTAACTCTACGCCATAACTTAAAAGATTTAATGTAATTATTAAAAATATTATAATAAAATCCAACGAGATGTTTAGTTCGATGCGTTGAAACTTATATAAGGAATAATAATAAATTATTATTCTTTTCATGTGAATCTTTTAATGGCCCTGAAAAGGGCCTTTGTTATATTATATTTTTCATTTCATTTCCTCTCCTCCTCACTTGGAACTGGTGTACTTCGTGACGGCCTTCGTTCCTTCACTGACGGCGTGTTTGGCCAACTCGCCGGGCAGCAACAATCTCACGGAGGTCTGGACCTCCCTGGACGTTATGGTGGATCTCTTGTTGTAGTGTGCGAGACGTGACGCTTCGGCGGCTATACGTTCGAATATATCGTTCACGAAAGAGTTCATGATCGACATGGCCTTACTTGATATACCGGTGTCGGGATGCACTTGCTTCAGAACCTTGTAGATGTAGATAGCGTAGCTCTCCTTCCTCTTGTGCTTCTTCTTCTTCTTGTCGGATTTGGAGATGTTCTTTTGAGCTTTGCCGGACTTCTTGGCTGCCTTACCGCTGGTTTTAGGCGGCATGTTTGATTATAATATGATATATTATTATAACAACGATTGACTTCAACGGTGCTTTCGGTACGGAGTACTGTAAGCTATTCTGTAAAAAAATATCCAACCCAGGGTCTAGTGTGTATCATTATGCTCAAGTATGTAGTTACGTATCGAGCACGCACGTCCACACCGGGGACCGACCAATAGGAAGCGTCGGTTCCGACCGTGGGGTCCGATGTGTTTTCCGTCTGCGGGGGGGGGGGGGGGAGGGGCGGGGCGGAGGGGGGTTTCGGTTTGAAAATAATAATCATAACATAATAATCATAAAATAAGAGTATGTAAAAACAGTCTATTAAATAAAGAGTACTTAATAATAACAATAGAAGAGTCATAAAAATTATGATGTCAGTGTTTCCAATTATTATTATTTTATTACCTGTACTTAAAACTAATTACCGTTCGGTCATTAAGTGCTTTGTGTTATTTTTTGTTTATTTTGAAAACTAATAATAAATAATAGCATTATGAGATTATCTATCGACTTTGAAAAGTAGATTACTATCAGTTATTTAATTTATTATTATCATGATATTGCTTTTGAAAGAAATTGTATAATATGTAATTAATTATATACTTAGGTAGTTTCATATACATACGTTAAATAATAATACATAATAATATTACTTATTATAATTGACGTCTCTCGTATCGATGGAACTGTTCGTATATTATATAAAATATATACGTTAAACAACGATTTATTTTGTGGCCCTGAAAAGGGCCTTTTAAATAAACATCAATTGGATGTATGACTATGTATACATGCATACAAACAAACATCACATCAACCATTACATATTATATACCCATTACATTAGTATATATGTAGACGGAGACGACGATGATGATGATGATGATTATGGTGGTGGTGGTGATGGTGGTGGTGGTGCGGTCCGATGATCATCAATGATAATCCTTTAGGCCTTCTTCTCCGTCTTCTTGGGCAATAATACGGCCTGGATGTTTGGTAGTACAACCACCCTGAGCTATGGTCACACCGGATAGAAGCTTGTTCAACTCTTCGTCGTTCCTTATGGCCAGCTGAAGATGTCTAGGTATGATTCTGGTCTTCTTGTTGTCTCTGGCAGCGTTACCGGCCAATTCGAGTACTTCAGCAGCAAGATATTCCATAACGGCAGCGAGATAAACGGGAGCACCGGCACCGACGCGCTCCGCGTAGTTTCCTTTCCTCAGCAATCTGTGTATACGACCGACGGGGAACTGTAGACCTGCACGGTTAGAACGAGACTTCGCCTTTCCCTTAACTTTACCACCTTTACCACGTCCAGACATTGTTGCGAATATATTAACCTTTTGATATAATAACGTAACACACGCGACTGGCAGAGAGTAATTTAAAAAAAACCGTAGCGCGGCTCTTTACTATATATACGTCTACACGTATCGGTGGGGTGGGGATATAGACGAATGACGAGCTAAAGTAGACGCGGAGAGAAGCGGGAGGGTTTTCCAATCAGTGTTGACATTTTTTTTAGAGGATCGTACTATAGACTAAAAAAAAAAAAAAAAAATAATAGTATTTTGTCTTGAAATTCAATGAAATAATCGTACGCGATGAAATTTCAATAAACTGCGTAAGTATATCAAATAAAAACGGAATTTATCAATTCATATGGTGTAATTAAGATATTCATTATTACATATATTTTGAAAACAGACAAAAAAAAAACAATGAATTGCTTTAGTCAATATCTGAATTATTAGGCACAGCAGATGCGGGAAAAGCATTATATATATATATATATATTGTTTCATACTTAAATTTATATACGATATCCTTTTTTTTCTTTAATATTATGTTGTGCAGCTAATAAATTCTTATTTACCGTTTCTTGAACACAGTTTAGTTTTACATATTCCTTATAGTTATAGTACTAAAGTATAGTTTTATACATTCCTTATAGTTTTATTGAAGATTTCGATTACTCGATCGTAAATGGTACAAGAGTCATAAAGGTTTCCCAAAGTGAGTTAAAAGAAAATAATTGTCACCCAGTGTTACATTATTATGTTTTTATATGGTGTTTTTCATTATTATTATTATTATCAAAATTATGTACTGCTAATGTACAATGTAACTAATATTTTCTATAATACTAACAACATAATATAATATCTTTATTTATTTATAACAGAATGTTTAATATGTCTAATACTATGTATTCAGTATTGTTATTCTTCTTCTACCTGGCAATTTTTCCAGCTGTAGCCAGGGTCTGTTTTAACATGTTATAAGAATAATTTGGCTATTTGTTTATATGTATGACCGGCCGCCTGCCTGATATCAACAACCCTCTTTGGGAATCAACATTAATCAGTGAGTGATGTCTAAATACTCTAAGAAAGTACATAATATATAACTTGGAAAAATCACATTGGTCATTCTTTGCCAGGGTCGAACCCGCGCCCTCATGCATGAGAGGCGGGCGGCCTTTTAACCAATTGGCCACCACTGACTTTGTTATTATCGTATTATAATATTATTACTGAATTGTTCGCTATTTTCGTGAATGTTATCTTGTATTCGATTATTATTTATATATATTTTATATTATTATTATATTATAGGAGACGATCTTTTGTCATTCGGAAAACGAGAACACAACGTTGTGTCGAAATCTAAGTTTTCCGACATGATTGGGTTCATAATGAAATAGATGTTTAGCCCTGAAAAGGGCTCTTTTTTTATATATGTATATTTTTTTTTCTTTCTTTCGTATCTGCGACGACGCGTGCCTGTAAGATGAACGTCACTCTCGTAGATTTCCGTTCGAAACGTTGAAGAGTTTCCGGGTTGTGTTACGGGGGGGACGCCGAGAGAGGGACATTCCGATGATCTAGAATACTCTTATCTATAATGAACTGTTGTATCAATCGTAAGTAAGTCTACAAACCCCCGAGCGCGGGGGGAGCACTCATCGATGTTTTGGTTTGCACGGATTGCTGCCTGCCGCCTCCGTTCACGCGATTGATTGATATAAAGCAATACAAAAATTATTACTTTTTTCGCTGCTGCTGCTGCTTTTCTTAGCTGCGGGTTTCGATTTTCGGGGTACCGGGGGAATGTTATTCTTCGGACTTCTTTCTTCGTCTCGGTTTTTCGGGGGGGGCTTTAGGTTTCTTAGTGGGATTAGGTTGGTGTTGCGCGCTACTTCTTGGCCTTTGGTTATGCTGCATCCTTTCGCCTTAGAAAGCTGTCGCGTGAGGATCCCGCGGCAGAGGCGTGGTTCGTTTTGTTCGCCTTATGGTTGTAACTGTACGCCGGGGGAACAACCTTCCTTAGCGGCGGCCGGGCTTCTTGTTATGGCAGCTGCTGCTGCTGGTTGGCCTGCGGCCGCTCGCCGCTTTCCTTTCATCTCTGGCCGACTTGCCGCCGATCGTGCTTTAAGCTTATGGCCCTGCGAAGAATGTATATGCAGCCGACGAACGTACAGCTACTGGAAAAGAACCGCTTTCTTATCTAACTTCACGCTTCTTCGCCTGCCACCGCCGATGCATCTGTTGCACGGGCGGCTTTCTTAGATTAATTAACGGATGCTCGACGCCGATAGCTCGACGAGCTTGCGACTAAGCCCCATACATAACGGTTTCGGCGGCGTCGGATACCACCACTTGCCTTACCACCACCACCACCCACCACCCACCACCCGACGGACGGTTCTGGCTTGCTTCTGATTGATTAGATTCCAAATTTGAACATGAACAGGAAAGCAACCCTTCCCATTGGGTTCTCTTGTATCAAGGTCACCGGATATCAGCTGACGGCGCTCTTGAGATTTTTTCTTATCGAACGGTGCCAATTTCTCCGTTATCGACCTACCTTATAATTGAGCGGCGATGTTAATTTCTTGAGAGCACGTGTAACGATGATTGAACCCGCTTGCGCCTCCTTCAACTCTTTGATGGCGTTTGTTTACCATTTCAGCTGTCTTTGTGGTATGAGTTATTCAGAGGGTTTAGCCATTAGGTTTCTTCCGGGAGCCGGCATTACCGCAGCGGCGGCGGTTCGCGGCGGCCAGCCGCTGACTGCTTTTCGGTTTCTTCGCAAGGCGTTATTTATTAGGCGTAGCCGGAGCCGGTGTTTCTAGATGCAAACTGCGGTATCTGTGCCATTTTTTTTAATGTTTTTTTTATTATTATTCTTCTCAGCATTTTGGTCACAACACCTATCCTTACAGACACACAGACACAGTTTATATTATAAACAATATAACTATGATGCATAGCCGGAGATAGTCGCTAGTATTTTATTTAACAATCGGGTAATGCCGTAACGAGAAACGTGTTGTCGCTAAACATTTCCGTACGAACCTTTCTAACTTTTCCGCTAACACCATCCGTTTTATATGTTTTATTTAGATATAATCATATCTGTTTATATAATTTAAAGATGGCAATATGTTAATCTTAAAAACTAACTTTCGTAGGGACATAAAACATTATAAACGTAGTTAAGCTGATAATAGACGTGTGAATTCTATATTACCTTCGGACGTAGGTAACGTCCCCATCGTTTAAAAGTTTTATTTTCTCATTTGAGAATAGCGTATAGCGTAATGTGATATCGATTAATTGAAAACGAAACATCACTCCTTCAGGCCCATGGAATATCATCGTCTTTTATTATCTATGAACTGTTAATGCGGCATCGAAG